AAAAAAAAAAAAAAAAAAGAAGAGGAGTCAGCTGAAACCCATGGTAGAACTCTGAAACTTGTCACTGACTTTAAAATCATCAACCTGTTGACAACTTGTGGTCATGAGGCCATTATGTCCTCGTGGTGGAGTCAGTGGAGAGCAGAGCTAATCGCTGTCCCCAGTGTCGTTGAATACAGCTAGGGAACTTAGTGATGTGTAAAGCAATAGGCTCCAAAGGGGTTTTATGGAGTGACTTATCAGGGTCCAGGTGTGAGTTTCTGTCATTGAGAACTAGAGGGATGGCCTATAAGGGCAGAGGTCAGGTGTCATGGGGAGACAGGAACAGGGTGGGCGCCCATTGAAAGGGCAGAACTCTAGATTTTAATGGAGAGATTTAGAAGCGTAGAAGTGTATATAGCCTTGGAAGGGAGTGGAAGAATGGAAGGACATCTTGAATGAAGTATCATGCACACTGTGAGGACTTAGGATAACCAAGAAGAGAGCTCAGAAATTATCCTGGTGCCACGAGGTTGGAAGGAGTTTTTGTCTCCATGTAGCCAGAGGGGGACTTGTGCACAGTGTGTCAGGAGGCACAGGGTGAAGTGGGAAAGAATGGACAGAATCTGGGTCCTTCTGAGGGTATTTTCCCAGAAGTATTCTCTGGTGTATTCAATTGGAATAGGATGACAGAATGCATCCCTTAGAGAAACATCAGGCTGCTTTGTCACTAGATCAAAGAATTCCTTTCACTTTTGAGGATGGTTAAATATAGAATGGAAAGTGTATTAACAAAAATGAGCAAAGACTGGAATTTCTGATTGACAATGAGGATATTTATTGAGTGTTGACTGTACAGTGGGAAAGGTTGATGACTTGGCATGAGGGAAGTCCCCTCCCTTGGCCTGCCAAGCTCTAAGATTTCATGAGTTGGGGGAGGACCAGGGCCTAAGAAAACTGTACAGGGGCAACATTCTTCTCTAAGGTGCTCCTCTTGTATGTGACCTGGCAGCTGAGGTGCTGCTAGATTTCCTCAGATCGGGTGTCATGGTCAGGTAGCTGGTGGCTGTGTACTTGTTGTTGCTCCATTTGGAGGACTGGGAGTGATCTCCACCTTACAGGTCACAGACACAGTGCCCTGTAGAAGTCACTCATAAGACACGCCTGTGTTGCCTTGTTGGTTTGAATCTTCTCAGATGATGGTGTCAACAGAGTGATTGAGGGGGCTACCTTGGGACGGACCTGTGAGGTTGGGGATGGGCAGGAGGTTAGTTTCCTTGTGTCTGCCTGAGCCTCCAGACCTAAGTCTTGAATTGGGTACAGCCCAGGTCAGGAACCTCTATCCAGGCCTTGCTATGGGAGGGTGGGGATACTCACCTTCTGACAGAATATGCCGTAGGGCCCAGGGACTGAGGAAAGTCAGGTCTCTTTTGGCTGGAGCTTCTCCTACAGGTTCCCACCTCCTCATTACCCACCTGTGCTCTCCTGATGCTGGCTGGTCTAAACCCTGGGATCCAAGTTTCCTCAGAGAACTTATCTGTCTGATTAACTCTTTTGAGGGCACTCCTTTGGGGCTGTTCATAAAGATGTCTGTCTGCTATGACTTCAGAATTTCCTCCCTTTGTGTTTGTTGGTTTGTTGCCTATCTGTGCCCTGGTACTAGCAGTGTAGGCCCTACCTTACCTACCCACAGAGACCCCTTCTGGGCAGGGGTATAGTCCTGGGACCTGTTCCTAGGGGGGTCTAGGAAATTGAGGACTTCCATGTGTGGAATATTTTGTGTTTGGAACTTTGGCCTGAGCTGGTTCCAAGTTGTCTTCTTATCATAAGTTACTCTGGGAATCTAGCTGTCCTAGGACATGTTTCTGCCTGGAGAGGTCCCTGTCACCTATGCCTGTCAGGAGTACCTTCCCTCAGTATCTGCTTTTGGGTCCCTCCTTTTAGTTGGGATGTGAATGTGCCTACTTTTGTGCCTGAGAGTCCTGAGACACACACTGTCAAAGGCTACTTGCCTGTCCTGGGGAGAAGGAGGGACCCAGCTCCTGGGGTCACTTTTCAAAGGGCATTCTTCCTTCATCGCTGTCCCCTCGCATTTTCATCTCCATCTCATCTCCAGTCAAAGGCCTCCCCTTATACTGTGCAAAGCCACACCATAGCTGAGAACCACAGAGGACTGAACTGAGGAGGTTTAGCTGTCCCCAGCATTCATCTCAAGTTCGTGGCTCTGGTGTACCAACCGCAGTCCCTGTTCTGCTGGTTCTTCGTGGACTCTGAGGGAAGGTGTAGAATATCCCAGAGTCCAGAGGAAAATGTCCCCCAGAGAAAGAGTGGGGCCTTCCGTGTGCTGTGTGCAGAAAGGTGTCACTGGGATGTTCTTCTCCTGTCCTAATCAAGTGTTTGAAAAGACGAGACAGATTGGAGGGACTAGGGTTGCAGAACCCTGAGAAATTCAGATCCTTGCTCTAGGCAGAACAGAAAGGAGAAAAACATTTTTCCCAAATTACACCCTGAATTCAAAAAGAAAGAAAGGTGTGACTCACCAAGGATGAACACCCTGGTGCCTCCGCCAGACACATAGCACCATGACTCAGCCCTGAACACAAACCCTCCTGACATGACACCCCACCCAGTCCCTCACACCTGCTTGGGAGGCCCAGGATCCAACTTCCTTTTCACATGGACTGGTGGAATCAGGGGAGTGTGAAGGTGTCATCTCTCACAGACATGACCATCTCTTCCTTCAGGGTTTAGAAATCCACTGACTGCCATTACAGACTAGGTTGAGAGGTGTGTGTAATTCGTTCCCCAGTGCCCTGCATTCTTTGGAGGGAACTTCGTGACCTGGGTCAGCAGGTGTCTCGTTGCCACGTGAAGTGGGGGAGATGAGAGAAGATACAAAACTGTAATTATGAAGCCAGGAAGGCCTTGAGGAGCTGGGAACTGTGGAGAGGGTCCTGGATGCCCCTATATCCTCCACACTGGAGGTTGTGACAGGATGGGCTTGGAATGGGAATTATGGGGGTATGGCGAGGGTAACTTTGACCCCAAGATGTAGACCCCAATACAGGGTCTAAGTTTGAGCAGTCCTATCCTAAGCTCGACTGTCCTGAACATGCAGTGTATGTTTACTGCTCATGTTCCCCTCCAAGGTGCATGTAGCCGCAGACCCCCTGCAGCCTGGGAGTGCTGAATTAGAGCTGGAATGGTCCACATGGAACTCCTTGTGGTGGCAGAGAGGTCTTGGGTCCCACTGTCAGTACATTTTCCTCCATGAACCCTACAAATATGCATGTTGCAGGTCTCTGCTGTCCCTGCAAGCTCCTTCCATTTCACACAGGTGCCCTTGTCCATAGGTACTCCACAGCCTCCTGTGCTCACAAGTGTCACTGGGAAGAGTGCACCACAGCCTAAGGTCATTCTCGGCACCTAACCCTGGATGGGCATTTTCAGAGCAACACTTGGACACACAAGTTCTGGGTGTCCTTCCTTGCCTGGGTTCAACACCTGAGATTCAACACCAGAGCTGACACCTGAGATACACACCTGCCACCCTGCCTTACCTAACAGCATCCCACACAGCAGGTACCTCCGCTGACCTCTGAGATTTGCTTGCTGTTCCTTTCCCAGATCCCTTCCTCAAGGATCCTCTTGTCTCCTGTTTCACTCTTGGCCCAGGCAGATAGTCCTGCCCCTCACCAAGTCAGGGCCAACCCCAAGCCCAAAGTTCAGAGGCTGCAGATGCTTGGTTTCTCTTTGCTCATGTCTCATCCTGGGTCTCACTGATTTGCTTCCTCTGGACCCTTTTTAATCTTCCCAAGAGGATGCCCCAAATGGATGTATGTGTAGGTGAAGTGTGTGTATATGTTGTCTGTGTGTTATCAATCAGGTCTCCACTGCATTTTTTAGAAGTCAGCTGACACCTAAGCACATGATAAAACGCCAGAACTTGCCTATTGTCTTTGAACTCATCAGTTTGTTGACAACCTGCAGTCACTGGGACATTTTGTCCTTGTTGTAGATCAATGGAGTGCAACGCTGACTGTCATCCTCTAGTGTCCTTGAGTGCAGCTTGGCCACTCCATGACATATGAAACAATAGGCTCCCAGGGTTTTTTTTTAGGGTGGGTGACCAGGGTCCAGGTGTGAAGTCCTGTCAGTGAGGGCTACAAGGAGGACCTTTGTGAACAAAAGTCAGAAACTATTGGGAGACAGAAGAAGCATATACCCCCATGATGAGGGCAGTGCTCACGGTTTTGAATGGGGGAGATTTAAAAGTGTGGAAGTGTATTTACTTGGAGGAAGAGATGGAAGAACATCTTGAATGAAATATGCCCACTGTGTGGGCCCAAGATCACAGTGAAGGGTGCTCAGCCGTTCTCCTGGGGGCCAGGGGGAATTGAGGCATGTTTGTTCTCTAATATCTAGAGGTAGTCTTATACACAGTGCTGCAGGAAGCACAAGGGAGAGTTGGGAAAGAATGGGCAGACCTGGGTCCTTCTGATGGTCTTTCCTTTGATCTGTAGCATTCAGTGGTTGTCAAATGACAGTAAAATATTCCTCAGAGAAACCTCAGTGCGCTTTTCATTACTGCTTTGTCCCTAGATCAAAGGGTTCTGTTCACCTTTGAATATGGTTAAATGTAGAATTAAGTATATAAACAAAAATGAGCAAAGACTGGAATTTCTGATTGACAATGAAGATATTTATTGAGGGTTCTTGAGTGCAGGGAGAAAGAGTGACAACCTGGTGTGGGGGAATACTTTTCTCCTGGGCTCCCAAGCTAGGTTTCCATGGGTGGGGGGAAGGCCAGGGCTTAAGAACACTGTGCAGGGAGCACTGTCTTCTCCACGGTGCTTCCTTCATGCGTGACTTGACAGCTGACACTTTGTTTAGCCTTCCACTGTTCAGGTGACAAGGTCAGGTAGCTGCTGGTCGCATACCTATTGTTGCTCTGTTTGGAGGGCTTCGTGGTCTCCACGCCCTGAGTGATGGGGAAGCCATCTGCCTTCCAGGTCACCGTTATTGCACCCGGGTAGAAGTCATTGATGAAACACACCAGTGTGGCTTTGCTGGTTTGAAGCTCCTCAGAGGATGGCGGGAACAGATTGACTGAGGGAGCTGCCTTGGGCTGACCTGTGGGGGTCAGGAAAGAACAGGAGTTCATTGTGCTGGTTTCCACATGAGGAACTTTGGCCTCTGTGTGAGGAGGGGTCTGGCCCTCTGTGCCAGTTTAAACACCCCGTATGGTTCAAAGTATCTTTGGCCAGTGGGTCAGGGGTTCATAAAACCACTGTCTGTCAGTTCTAAGAAATCAAGAGCCTGCCTGCCCATGACCTGTTTTCAGACCCTCTAGGCTTTGGCCTCCTGCACAGAGAGTAGACCCTCAGCCACCTCCTCCTGCCTCCTACTGATATGCTGAACTGGTCTATCTGTAGCTGTGAGTCTGTCTCCTGAGCTCTCTGAGTCTCCTGTTAGATTTACTCTGGGGTCTTTTCTTACCTAACATGTCTGCTGTGCATACTATGGATCTAATCTAAGGGCTCTGTTTTTACTCAATTCTTTTTTTCTCTTGAGTCTCTGCAGTAAGTCCTTGATCATCTGAGTGAATCATCTGCTTCTCCTGGTCTTTAGTTGTTGGAGTTCATGTTAAGAGTCCGTCTGTCTATGCACTGATCAGTGGCATTTATGCCTTTGGTCTTGGGATCATGCCTTGGGATCAGTAAACTCAGGGAATTCTTCTTCTTGGAGTAAATCCTGCAGAGACCCAGTAACCTACCTTCCTGAATTCTACATCCTTAAATGACTTCTCTGGATCCCTTTTGTTTAGAGCTTTCCTCTTCTTCCTCCCTCCTGGCTGGGTTTCCTGAGTACAAGGCCAGCTCAGGGTTTTCTCTGTGGCAGCCCATGGAAACCTGAGGAGGCCCTTCCACCTCCTACCTTTTTCTGTCCTCATCCCAAAGTTCCTCAGCCCAGGGCACTTGGCTATGAGCTTCTGACCTCTGGTTCCCCAGCTGTGACACTGAAGGTTCAGCATCCAAAAAATTCTCCCATATTTTCACTCCTTCAATTCCCTTGTTCCCTCTTCCCATAAGATGGGTCCTCAGTTTCTCTTCATAAAGTGAATGAGACAGACAGGGCCCAGATGGGGAGGACTAGACAGAGCAAATTCTGGAGACCTAATGTCTCCTATCAGCCAGACATACATACATACATACATGCATGCATACATACATACATACAAAAAAACAGAGAGACAGAGGAGTAGTCTCAGCAGTTCACCCTTTTCAATCCCGGCCTCTAGGGTCAAAGGTAAAGGGTTGTAGTGACCATATGAAGAAAGTAGGTATCTGATCAGAGTGGGGAGAGAGTCTTTCCCCATGGTTTGAGGTCAGGGAGAAGGTCATGAGAAGGTTCCCAGCTTGACCACAGACTGGCACAAGATAGAGAGAAAACAACAAATGGTAGAAAAATGACCAAAATCCTGGAGAGAGCAGGGGAGGAGGAGAAAGATGACACTTACCTAGGACGGTCAATCTGGTCCCTTGGCCGAATACCCAACACCATGACACAGGCTCATACAAAAACTCCTCCCTTGGCCATCCCCAGTCCCCACCTGCAGCTGTGAATAAGGAAGCTCAGGCCCCTGTCTCTGGGGATCTCTACTTAGCAGTGAGTCCCAGCAGTCCCCATTCTTGCTCCATGAATAATGGAATGGGTGACATTGTGTGACTCTGGATTTCACCCTGGAAATCCAAACTCCTGAGTGTTGTCAGTGTCTTGGCTTTGGTTTTCCATCCAAACATCACCTAGGTATTGGAATTAGTTTATTGGAGGACATTTGTGTTACCTAGGAATAAATTTCCATGCAAATGGATAGGTGGCATCTTCTCTGCAGAACTATCACAATCCTGATCTCTTGCTGAGCATGGGGTGGGAAAGGGTGTCCTCCTTCCTGAAGGGCAAGTCCTTTTGCCCTGGAGGGCTTTGTCCTGGGAACCTTCTCATGACCCTGGTTCAGACTCCAGGAATCCTAGCCCCACCTTCCCTGGAGTGTCCTTGTTGGAAGGGCCTGGCCAGTGAGGTCTGACTGGACTCCTGGGAAATGCCAGTCTAATCTTACAAGTGACCTTGGTAGCACCTCTGCTTCGCTTAAATTTGGCATCATGTTTTCAGGGTAAGATGGGGTGGTTGCTTCCATTGCTTTATTCAGATTGATGGTATGAGCCAGCATGCTGACCATAATCTCAAAAGACCACCTCCCACCAAACCCATGGGACAAGTGACCTATTCCAGGCCTGGAGTAGGGAAGGGAAAGTTGAGGGAGAACCTCTTGTGATCTGAGAAATCAAGAACCATGGAGGTCCCCTGTGGTCACGTCAGGGATCACAGGAGCTACCTGAAAAATTTCCTTGTGGGCAAATGCCCATGTTTTGTAGCTGTACATTCACCATCGGGAAACACAGTAGCAATGGATCTCAAGGGCAGATCTACTTGCATGATGGAGCCCACACTGGCCCTCAGTTAAATGTTCACTTTGTAGGATAGCAGCACACCAGATGGTCAGTTTGTAAAGAGGTGAACTGTTGGAGGTTTTCTCAAAGATGAATTGGTTGAAAAATTGGGGCTTTGCTTCTGGAATCTGTATTCTGTTCCATTGGTCTATTTGCCTGTTCTTGTACCACAACCAGGCTGTTTTGATTACTGTAGCCTTATTGTAATGTTTGAAGTCTGGAAGTGTGATACCTCCTGCTCTGTTTCTTTTGCTAAGGATTGTTTTGACTATTCATGGTCATTTATGTGTCCATATGAATTTCTGTATTGTTATTTCCAGTTCTGAGACGAATGATGTCGGTTACTTAATGAGTACTGCCTTGAATCCATAGATTGCCTTTGGTAAGATGGACATTTTAACAATGTTCATTCTTCCTATTCATGAGCATGGAATGCTTTTCCATTTGTTTGTATTTGTTGTATTTGTTTGTGTCTTCTTGGATTTCTTTGAGCAGTGTTTTGTAGTTCTCATTGTAAAGTTTTTTCACTTCTCTGGTTTAGATGATACCAAGGAATTTCATTTTTTTGGTGGCTATTAGGAATGGGATTGTGCTTTTAATTTGTTGCAGCTCCATTCACAATAGCAAAAACGTGGAACCAACCATGTTACCCATCGAAGCTGAACTGGATAAAAAAATGTGATACATATTCACAATGGAATATTATGCATCCATAAAGAAGGACAAACATATGGACTTCATAGCAACTTGGATGGATTTAGAGTCGATCATACTTAGTGACCGATCACAGAAAAGAAAGAATAGAATGCCATAAGTTTTCATTCATAAGCAGACGTTGAACAATTTTTATAATGCTATAAGAAAGGGATTAGCAGTAGTGGGCAACTGTAAGTGGAGGAAGGGTGAGATTGGCAGTTGAGGAAGACTGGCAAGGGAGGGAGGAGCATACCTCATCAGCAAGCATATTTGCATAATCAATGTTTTGACCTTGGGCTACTAGCCACTGAGTGCCATGAGTCCCCCATACCTCAGTAAGAACCCCGGGAGTTTACAAATTAAATACAAGATAAAAAATAACGAGAGACAACAGGATTTCTGATTGACAACCAGGATATTTATTGAAAGTTTATAAGGTGTGGGGAGAAGGGCTGTATCAGTTGGAGTGAGAGTGAGATCCTTTTGCTGGATTCCCAAGCTCTAGGCCCCTGTGAGGGGGCAGGATTGGAGCCTAAGGATACTATGCAGGGGTCACTGACTTCTCCACAGTACTCTCTTTGTGCGTTATCTGGCTGCCGTAGCTGCTGAGAGATGTCCACTGTTCAGGTGTCAGGGTCAGGTAGCTGCTGATCGCATACTTGTTATTTCTCTGTTTGGAGGGCTTGGTGATCTTCATACCTTGGGTGGCAGGAGTGCAGTCTGTCTTCTAGGTCACCATCGCAGTGCTGGGGTATTAGTCTCTCATGAGACACAGAGGTGTGATCTTGCTGTCTTGGATTTCTTTAGAGGAGGGCTGTAACAGAGTGACTGAGGGGCAGTCTTGGGCTGACCTGTGGATATAGAGGGTGGGCAGGAGATCAGAGGACTGGTGTCTACCATAGGGCTTCTGGTGTTAGTCTTGAAGTGAGTACATGGCTAAGGTTCAGAACAGGGACCTCAGGCTGGGCCCTTGCTAGACTGAGCTCATGTCAGTGGAGGGTTGGGAAACTCACCTTCCTGTGGAAAACTCCCTTGTGTCTGACTCTTGAAAAGTTGCAGGGTTCCTTGGATCTGCTTCTTTATCAGTCCTCCTCATCACCCACCAATCCCCACCTCTGTTCCCCCAACCTTGGATGAAATTGACTATGGGACCCCAAATACCCTTGATTGTCTGTCTGTCCTGGTGTGTCTGTCTGAACATCTCCCATCTGTTTTTCTGTGGTTATTTGTTTGTGATAATATTTTCCTGTCTTAGGTTCAGGATCCTCTTTCTTACAGGGATGAGGTTTCTTGCTCACACACCTCCTGCCACCATCATTGCAGCCCCCACCCCTGCTCCCCACAAGGACCCCTCAGGACTTCCTGATGGCAGGGGTTTCAGTACCTGGGATTTGATTCCAGGTATTCCAGTAGACTGAGGGTTTCCATTTGAGGCCCTTTCCCCACCCCCAGTTCTTAACCTGGGTTCCTGTCTACTCCATGGGGTTCCATTGACATGAGAATTTCTATAAGAGCATCTGTTTCTCCAGTGAGTTTTTTTCTGTGTAATAGACAACTGTCCTTGTTACCTGTTTCTAGGTGAGATTTACAAGTGTAGAAGCGTATAGGAGGAGATGGAAAGACATCTTGAATGAAAGACAATGTTCATTGTTAGGGCCCAAGATAAGAGGGAAGAGAGTTCAGTCATTCTCCTGGGGACCAGAGGGATGGAAGAAGGGTTTATCCCCTAGTGTCCAGAGGTGGACTTATACACAGTGCTGCAGGAAGCACAGGGGAGAGGTGGGAAAGAATGGGCAGGCCTGGGCCCTTCTGATGGTCTTTCCTTTGTTCTGGAACATTCAGTGATTGTCGAATGACAGTAAAAGTATCCCTTAGAGAAACAGCAGATTGTTTTTCATGGTTGCTTTGTTCCCAGATCAGAGGATTCTGTTCACCTTTGAATATGGTTAAATGTAGAATGGAAAGTGTGTAAACAAAAATGAGCAAAGACTGGAATTTCTGATTGACAATGAGGATATATATTGAGGGTTATTGAGCGCAGGGATAAAGCCTGAAAACATGGCATGGGGGAAGACCCTTCCCCTGGGATCCCAAGCTCTAGGCTTCCATGGGTCGGGGGAAGGCCAGGGTCTAAGAACACTGTGCAGGGACCACTGTCTTCTCCATGGTACTTCCTTCATGCATGACTTCGCAGCTGTATCTGCTGTGAGACCTCCACTGGTCAGATGATAAGGTCAGGTAGCTGCTGGCTGCATAGTTGTTGTTGATCTGTTTGGAGAGCTTGGTGGTCTCCACGCCCTGAGTGATGAATGAGCCGTCTGCCTTCCAGGTCACTGTCACCGCACTGGGGTAGAAGTTGCTGATGAGACACGCCAGTGTGACTTTGTTGGTTTGGAGCTCCTCAGAGGATGGCGCAAACAGAGTGACTGAAGGGTGGGCCTTGGGTCAACCTGTGGGGGTCAGGGAAGAAGAGGAGTTCAGTCCTTGTTTCCCCATGGGGAGATTTGGCCTCTGTGTGAGAGGAGTGGTCTGGCCCTCTATTCCAGTTCAAGATCCTTCATATGGTTAATGTGTCTCTTGGAGATTTGGCCAGGGGTTCATAAAACCACTCTCTGTCAGTTCTATGAACCCTGGAGCCTGCCTGCCCATGACCTGTTTTGAGACCCTGTAGGGTTCAGCCTCCTGTGCAGACAGCAGGTCCTCAACTGCCTCCTCCTGACGTCCTGATCTCGTCTATCTGTAGCTGTAGCTGTCTGTCTGTTCCCTGAGCTTTCTGAGCCTCCTGTTAGATTCACTCTGGGGACTTTTCTTACCAAACATGTCTGCTGTGCATGCTCTGTATCTAACATAAGGGCTCTATTTTTACTCAATTCTTTTTTCCCTGGAGTCTCTGCAGTAGGGCCTTTGATCATCTGAGTGAGTCTATCTGCCTGTCCAGGTCTTTAATTGTTGGAGTTCGTTTTAAGAGTCCCTGTACCTATGGACTTCTCGATGGCATTTATGCCTTTGATCTTGGGATCAGTAAACTCAGGGAATCCTTCTTCTTAGGATACATCCTGCAGAGATCCAGTAACCCACCTTCCTGTATTATGCATCCTTAGATGACTACACTATTGGCTCCTTTGAGTTCAGAGTCTCTCTCTCCTTCCTCCTTCCTTGCTGGGTTTCCTGAGTACAAGACCAACTCAAGACTTTCTCTGTGGCAGCCCATGGAAACATGGGAAAGACTTCCCACCTCCTACCTTGCTTCTTTCCTGGATCCAAAGTCCCTCAGCCCATGGAACATGGCCCTGAGCCTCTGACCTGTAGTTACTAACTGTGGCCCTGAAGGTTCAAGGTTCAGTAAATTCTCCCAAATGGTCACTTCTTCAATTCCCTTGCTCCCTCTTCTCATAAGAGGGGTCCTCAGGTTTCCTTCATAATGTGAACCAAGCAGAGAGGATCCAGATGGGGAGGACCAGACATAGCAAATACTGGAGACTCCATGACCCACTGTTAGTCATACATACATACATACATCATTCATACATACATACATACATACATACATACAAAGATACAGACAGAGGAGCAGTCTCAGTACTTCAGTCTGTCCACTCCTGGCCTTTGTGGTCAAAGGTGAAGGGTTGCAGTGACCATCTGAGGCAAGTAGGTATCTGAAGAGCTGGGCAGAGATTTTTGTCCCAGGGTTTGAAGTCAGGGAGAATGTTTGAGCACAGGCTGACACAAGATAGAGAGAAAATAACGAAAAGTAGAAAATGGACCCAAACCCTGGGGAAAGTAGTGAAGGAGGAGAAAGATGACACTCACCTAGGATGGTCAGCCTATCTTCTTATCAGAAGTTAATCGTGGGATCTAGCTGTCCTAGAACATCTTTCTACCTGGATATGTCCCTGTCACTTTGCCTATCAAGAGCCCCTGCCTTCAGCATCTGCCTTGGAGTTCCTACTCTTTGTTGAGATGCAGATATGCCAACCTTGTGCCTTGGAGTCCTGAGAGCCACACTGTCAAAGCAACCTGCCTGTCCTGCAGGAGGGGGAATGCAGGACCCCAGGGTCACCATCTCACAGGACATTCTTCCTCCATCTCTGTCACTCTCCCATTTCTCCCTCCATCTCTCCATTTTTCCAGTCAAAGTTCTCTCCTCACACTCTTTAAAGCCTACCCATAACTGGAACTCATAGAAGAAACTACCCAGCATCTTTCCCAGATTTCTGGTCCGGGTTTCCCAACACCAGCTCCCTGTTCTAGTGGTCTCTGGTGACTGAGAGACACCAAGGGAAGAAGAGGAGCATCCTGTAGTCCAAAGGAGAGAGAGAGAGAGATATGCTGTGAGCAGGCTGGAGGGGTTAGAGTTGCAGACCCCAGAGAGATTCTGACCCTTGCCCTAGACAGAAAATAAAGGAGATAAACGTTTCCCTAAAATTTCACCCTGAATCCCCAATGAACATGGAGAGGGTGGACTCACCAACGATGCTCAACCGAGTGCCACCTCCAAAGCTCAAACACCATGACTCATTCCCCTACACAAACCCTCCTGAAACCCCACCCAGTCTCCCCACAGTTGCTTGTGAGGCCCAGGGTTCAGGTTCCTTTTTGCATGGGCTTGTGGAATCAGGGATGGTTGAAGGGGTCACCTCCCACACACCAGACTATCTCTTTCTCCAGGACTTAGAAATCCGTTTATCCCCACCATGAGAAGGGTAGAGAAGTGTATAGAATCCAATTCCAAACCCACTGCTTTCCTGGGAGGGTGCTGCATGGCCTGAGTCAGCTGGTACCCAAGTGCTACGGAGGAAGGTGTTAGAGATGTTATAACATGGTGATGATGAAGAAGGGACCTGTTTGAGGAGCTGGGAACTGTGGGGAGGGTCCTGGATGCCCTCATATCCTCCCTGGATGTCATGACAGGAATGGCTTGGAATAGGAGTTTGGGGTGTGTGGAGAGTTACATTGACACCAGGGATACAGATCCCACTGCAAGTTCTGATTTTGAGCACCACCCTCCTAAGCTCCACTGTCTGGAAGACACAGTGTATGATCACCCCTCATGTACCCCTCCAGAGCCCAAAATACAACAGCATCTTTGGAGGATCGTGTGCTGGATTAGGGCTGAAATGGCCCACAACGAGCTTCTCATGTTGGAGAAGGGGTCATGGGTTTCATTGCCAGTACAGTTTCTTCCAGGAACTCTATGAGTGGAGAGGTCACTCCTGTGCCCTCAGTGTCCTTCTGATACACACAGACACTCATGTCCATGGGTGCTCAACAGCCTCCTGTTATCACAAGTATTACCAGGACTGAGTAGACAATAGCCTGGGGACACACATCCCTATACTGGATGGACTAGTTCAGAGCAGTGCCTGAACACACAAGGACCTGAGATCCATCCTGGTCTGGGCTTATCACCTGCAGAGATCACACCTGTGACACACACCTGCCACATTTCCCTCTCAATAATTTCCCCCACAGGAGGTTCCTCCACTAAACTCTGAGATTTGCCTGTTGCTGGTTTTCCAGAATCCCTCCCTCAACGCTTCTCCTGTCTCCTGTCTCATTCTTGGCCAGGACAAATAATCCTGCCTCTCCTCTATGTCAGGGCCAGCCCCTTAGGCCCAAAGCTCAGGGACTGCAGATCTCTGGCTTCTCTTTGCTCATGTCCCAAACTTAGTCTCGCTGCAGTGTCTTCCACCTGAG